ATCTGTTCCAGGGCTTGTAACACTAACAGCACAAGAAGTAACACTGACACGTGCAAAGTGTTTGGCAACAATGTTCCTTGCACTCCATGCAGCAACATGAGGTTTAACTCTTACCTCTGATGATTGCTTTGAGATGGGTGGGCTTTAGCTTTTTGGCTTGGATGGCATCATTGAGAGCTGAACGGTAGTTACCTACAAAGCAAGTAAAACTGCTCAGAACCTCTCATTTATATTTAAAATCCACCCAGATACCAAGGTGATAAAATAGTTTATGCAGAGACTCCGTGATTCACTGTTTCTACTGTCACTGTGAGGTGAGAGGAGGACACAAAAGAGAAAACTAAGAGCAAGAAGTCAAAGGACAGGAGTCAACCATACAGGTGAGAGCTAAGTAATGTGACTGTGAGCAACACACAACGGCACTAAAAGACCCAGAACACCTTCCCTGCTGTGCAGACACTGTTGGTAGGATGGGTGGCAGCTGTATGAGATCAGGTTTGTGACCACCTCAGGAACCTGCACATACGTAAGTCCATGGGACTTGACAAGATGCGTCACATGGTTCTGAGGTCTCCGGGGAGGTGGTGGATTCACCATCCCTGGAGGTTTTCAAGCTGAGACTGGATGTGGAACTTAGTGCCATGAGCTAGTAACCATGGTAGGGGTGGACTCTTTGAGGTCTTTTCCAACCTGGTTGATTCTAAAAACAAATACTTTAAACAAAAACCAAATAGAATTGGCTGATGTAGTTGCTGAGCCACTCTCCATGATATCTGATAAGTCATGGCAGACAGGTGAAGTCCCAGGTAACTGGAACAAGGGAAATATTGCACCCATTTTAAGAAGGGTAGAAAGGAGGGCCCTGGGATACATCAACCTGTCTGTGCTGTCAGCCTGATCTCTGTGCTTGGGAAGATCATGGAACAGATCCTTCCAAAAGCTATGCTAAGGCAAATGGAGAACAGAGAGGTGGTTCAGGCCAGACAGCACAGCTTCATGAAGGGCAAGTCCTGCCTGACCAATCCAGTGGCCTTCTATGATGGAGTGACTACCTCAGGGGACAAGGGAAGAGCTATGGAGTCATCTATCTGGACTTCTGTAAAGCCTTTGACACAGTTTTCCACAACACCCTTCTCTCTAAACTGAAGAGAAGGATTTGATGGGTGGACTGTTCAGTGGATAAGGAATTGGTTGGATGGTCACATCCAGAGTGTCACCATCAACAGCTCAAAGTTCTGATGGACATCAGTGACAAATGGTGTCCATCAGGGGGCTGTGCTGGGACCAGTACTGTTAGTATCTTCATCAATGACAGGCAGTGGGACTGTGTCCACCATTGGCAAGTTTGCAGGTGACACCAAGCTGAGTGGTGCAGTTGGCACACCTGAGGGACAGGATGGCATCCAGAGGGACCTGGACAAGCTTGACAAGTGGGCCCATGGGAATCTCCTGAGGTTTAACAAGACCTGTGTCGGGGCAACCCCCGGTATTCTACAGGTTGGGGAATAAACAGATGGTGAGCAGCCCTGCCAAGAGGGACTTGGGGGTGCTGGTGGATGAGCTGGTAGTGTGAAAGGCAACCCAGAAATCCAACCATGTCCTGGGCTGCATCCAAAGCAGAGTGGCCAGCAGGTGAGGGTTGCAATGAACAAAGCACAAACCCTGAATGCAGCCATGCTCTGAAGTGAGCCAGGTCTTCAGGTGCTTTTTTCTCATTAATAAACTACTTAGGCTGCTATATTACCAAAAAAAAAAAAAAGTAAAGAAAAAGGAAACCCAAAGTGGGGAGGAAAAGCAACCCGAGTGTGGAGCCCTAGACTGGCTCACAGCCCTTACCCAGGTAGAAGTGTGCAGCCCCCCGGTTTGTGTGCAGCACAGCGTTCAGCTCGGGGTCCTCACACTTCTTCCGCAGCCCCTCGGAGTAGGCAGCAACAGCTCTCCCGTAGTCCTTTTCCCTGAAATACTCGTTTCCTTCGTTCTTGTACATCTTGGCCAGCTCTACGGGGATGGCGAGAAGGGGCAGGGTGTGAGCGCGGGTCCCCCGGGCACCCCGCGCCCCCCGGCCCG